TTTTCATGCAATAATTTCCTTTTTAATTGAGCTGTAGACATCAAAAGTCACACTTGGAAAAATAACTTGGTACTTTTGTTGACATACTGTACACAAACCTGAATTCTGTGCTGATTGTAAAGTTGTACTTGCTGTAAAAAGTCAATATAAATCTGTGTTTTGAATCTGACTCTAATTTTTATGTTTGCTCTGTCACTCAGAAAGCAGCTCCCTCTTTCTATTTGTCTTACTGGGATTTTGCTGTTACAGATGACACCATATAATTCTCATTTGGCTGTGAAAGCAGTGGTTTAAAAGTCAAAGCTGTTGAAAGGTGAGCTGTTGGGGAGGGGGGTGGCCTAGAGGCTGAATGCACCGATTTATCCAGACTTTCCCTGAATACCCAGCTAGGAGAAGGGCTGGCAGTGCACCGCTCTCTGCTCCCTGCCAAACAAATGGTGTTGCCACTCAAAATGTTTTTTTGTCTCACAAATTCTTTTGAGGAATGCAAAATGGACTTGGATTGTATTTAGGGAAAATAGCCTTTTAAAAACCTTTTAATCAGTTTGTAACCATGTTTTCATTAACCACGGTTTTCTTTTAGGGACATTAAGTACACAGTTATACTTCACCCAGAGAAATCCATAAAGCCCCAACCTCATTAGATAACATATGCAAAAGTAGAAACATGTATTGGCTTTCTTTTCGCCTAAAGTTATAGAGAATTGTGAAATCTATTGCGCAGGAATGTATGTGATAAATCTCCTCTTTGTCAGGGGGGGTTGGTACTGCACCAAATAAACAGCAAATTGAGTCAAAGCATGGGGCAGTTTAGAAGAAATAATGTTTTCAGACGTGAGCAGGACGGACATAAAAGATCACCTCGTGCCCTTCACTAAACTCAGTCTCTGACCCTTGACAACAACAAAACAGCAAACTCGTATAGTTCCCAAGAGACCAGACAGCGGCTGTGCGCAAACACTGCGCCAATTCAGCCTCCGTGTATAAGACCATGTGCTCCGCCAATCTAACTCCAGCCTCAGTTAGCTACGGCCTGATGCCAGGTTTTCTCATTGTCGACGTTGTTCTCAGCCTAAACAGCCTTTGATCTTTGCAGCGGCTACAACCCGGGAAGGCGATGTCTTTTTCCGCTGGTGCTAA